GATAAAAACCATCAATGACAAACCAACAGCAAACATCATACTAAGTGGACAAAAAATGAAAGCTTTTTCTCTAAAATCAGGAACAAGCCCAGGATGTCCACTGTCTCCACTCTTATTCAATATAGTCCTGGAAATTTCAGCTGAAAGAATTAGAAAAGAGAAAGAAACAAAAAGAATAAAGATAGAAAAAGAAAAAAGTTAAATTATGGTTATTTGCAGATGACATAGAAGACACCAAATATTCCTCCAAAAGACTACTAGATTTAATAAACAAATTCAGTAATGTAGCTGGTTACAAAGTCAACACTCAAAAATCAGTAGCCTTCCTGTACTCACTGAGAGAGAAATCAGGGAAACAATATCTTTCACAATAACATCCAAGAAAAAAAAAAAAAAAGAAATACCTAGGAATTAATCTAACAAAAGATGTAAAAGACCTCTACATTGAAAACTACTGAACTCTGAAAAAGAAATTGAAGAGGATATTCGAAAGGGAGAGATATCCTGTGCTCTTGGGTAGAAAGAACCAATATAGTGAAAATCGCCACTCTTCCAAAACTGTTATACAGATTCAATGCAATTCCAATCAAAATCCTAAGAGCATATCTCACAGAAGTAGAGAAAACAATCCTAAAATTCATCTGGAACTAGAAAAGCTATAGAATAGCAAAGTCACTCCTCAGCATGGAGACAAGACAGGGGGGCATCACAATCCCTGACTTGAAATTATAGATAATGCTACTGTGACAAAAGTACAGTATTGGCAAACAACAACAACAACAACAAAAATAATCACACCTGAAAATCAGTAGAACATATTAGAAAAACCAGAAACAACCCCAGACATACTACGCCACCTTATCTTATCAAAGGTGCCAAACACATACACTGGAAGAAAGATTGCCTCTTTAATAAATGGTGCTGGAAAAACTGGCTCTATACCTGCCAAAGATTAAAACTGGACCATATCTTTTACCAGGTTCTAAGCTAAAACCAGAATGGACGAAAGATCTGAATATTAAAACAGAAACATTAAATCTGCTAGAAGATAGAGTAGATAAAACTCTTAAAGACGTTGGTGTAGGCAAAGACTTTATGAACAAAACCCAGATTGCATAGGAACTATCACAAAGAATAAACAACTGGGATCTCACCCTATTGAAAAGCTTTTGCAAACCAAGACAAACCACCAACACAGTGAAGAGGCAACTCACAACAAGGGAGAAAATGTTTGCCAGTTGTACCTCAAAGGATAGTAATATCAAGAACATATAAAGAACTAAAGAAAAAAAATTAGTCCTCCCAGATTTGAAGACCCAATCCAAAAATGCGCATCTGAGATGAATACACACTTCTCAGATGAAGAAATACAAGCAGCAAATAAATATGTGAAAAAAATGTTCAACATCACTGCTCATTTGAGAGAAACAAATTAAAACAACACTGAGATTCCATCTCACCCCAGAAAGAATGACTATTGCCAAGAATTCAAGCAAGCACAAATGCTAGAGGGGTTGTGGGGAAAAAGGAATCCTTTTTCTCCACTGCTGTTGGAAATGCAGACTGGTGCAACCACTTTGAAAATCAGGGTGGAGATTCTTCAAAAAACTAGGACCTGAGGTCCCATTTGGCCCAGCTATTCCCCTTCTGGGCATCTTCCCAAAAGAACATCATACTACAGTGATATATCTGTACTCATGTTTATAGCAGCACAATTTTTAATAGCCAGATCTTGGAAACAACAAAAATGGTCATCCTCTGGGGAATGGAAACAAGATGTAGTATTTTTATACAATGGAGTATAAAGTCAGAAAGAAGGATAAACTGGAGACTTTTATAGTCAAATGGATGTAACTTGAGATCATATTCATAAGCGAAATAAGACACACATGTGTAAACATCATATTGTTCAGTGTGAAAACCTAAAACAACATATGTATATGTATGCAAAAAGTAGTTAAAATACTTCTACTACTGATTTCTCCTGAGTTCACTGAAGAGAAATATTTGTGCTGGTACTGTTTGGACAATTGATTGCAGATTTCTTGGGCTCTGGGTGAATGATTTTGGGATGACAATGCACCATGTATGTATCATTGTTGCCTCCTGATTGATGTCTTTTGAAATTTTGAGGGTTTTTTCTCCTTGAAATAAGATGGATTTGAAAAACACAATCCAAGTCAGAAGAGAATTGACTCCACTTTCATTGAGCAGCGAGGCCAAGAATTTGCAGCCCACAGTAAGACGGATGTCTTCATGTGGCTTCTCAAGTGCAGAATGTCTTTCCTGGTATGTAGCATTCAACTTTCAGACAGAAACACATTAAAGAATACAACCATGATAGGATTTATGAAATGGAGGGGGTACGCACCGGGCTGTGATGTAACATTCCTGGTACAGGATGGAGTCTTTTAAGAGTGAAGGCAAGAAGCAGTACTTGCAGAAATCTAAAGACTAAATTTATACTAGAGGGGTTTCCCTGAGATACTATTTGTATTTCATTACAGAAAATTCCATACTCAAAAGCAGACTAATAAAGGTGGGCATGGTGGCACACGGCTGTAACCACAGCACTCGGAAGACTGAGGAATGAGACCCAGCCTGGCTACACAGTGAAACCCTGTCCCAGAAAACAACAAAAAAGACAAATCCTCACAGATCTCACCTGACTTCAACTGTCACCAGCACACATGATTTTGTTTCATCTATGTCCTGAGCTGTCCCTCTGGACATCACATGATCTCACTTGTTAGGACCTCAGCAGTGGAAATATAGCCTGTAAAGGGCCTGTATGGTGCAGTCCCTCAAATATCTAGAAATAAACATTTACAGCCTGAATACCCAAATTAGTGGACACAGATTCCATTTTGACTTACCTCTGCTGAGATGAGACGGAAGTGTGCTGCATGCTAAAATTTTCATAGATCACAAAGAGAAGCCAAAGACAGGACTAGTGGGCAAATTCGGAGAGAACACTGAACACACACAGGAGAGAGTAATGCAATAAAGATTCCAAACAGTTCTCCATGAGCGAGGAGGAGGCGGGAAGAGAAGGCAAACGATGCTCTTGTTTTACTTTTAACAAAATGGAGCTGGGAGTAGAGCTCAGCTGTACCATATTTGTCTTCCTTGTAACACTCACACACACACACACACACACACACACACACACACACTCCAGGTTAGAGGGCTGAAGCCTTAGTGATTAACATCTCTCCAGCTCTATAGCTTTTGAAATGCTACAGTACTGTTATACCACTTTATGAGAGACTTCTGTCCACCTGAAGACAAGAATGTGGACTATAGGACAGTCTCAGGTCATCAACTCAATTACCCCCATTAAGAGGAAAGGCCTGTGCTTTCCTGTTGGCCTCCTCTGAAAGGGAAGGGTGAGATGTCTAAGTATTTATAATCAAATCACAGGGAGCTGTTGCCAAATGGGGTGAAAGTAAGGCTCTCATGTGACACAGGATGGTTTTCACTGGGGTCCTTGAGGCGTGAGAACAGTTCACATGTGGATTCCTAGAGGAAGATAGGATGCCTGAATTGAACAAACCCCCAAACAGTGTGAGCAGATTTCAGACCCTCCATCTGGGAGCAGCCCAGGCGGGGCTGAGTGGAGGTGACCCAAGGCACCCCTGAGAGCCACCCCTGCAAGCTGTAGAGGTGAGGACTCTCCAGGACTTCCCAGAGGAACTGCTTGCTTCCTTCTGCTACCTCCACCCACTGTGTGTTCCTGCTCTGTCAGGTGTCACGGGTCTGAAAAACTGTCCTCAAGTAGCACCACAGGTCCTTTGTACTCATGGGTTCTACATTCAAGGAGTGAACCAACTGCAGACTGAGAATATTTCTTTAAAAATCTGCATCTGAATTGGTTTGTTGATGTGTGCTTATACTTCCAGCACTGTGAGGCTGAGGTTTAAGTCCAGCCTAAGCAATTTAGCAACTTACTGAGACCGCCTCAAAATACAAAGGGCCGGGGACAGAGCTTAGTGTGAAGGCCCTGGATTGCACCTCCAGCACCTTGGTGAGGGACGTTGTATCTGTACTGAATACATGCAGATGTTTTTTCTTGTATCTCCTAAAGAGCAAACTACTATTCCCATAGCATTGCCACTGTATTAAGTGTAAGTTATCCAGAGAGGACGCAAAGCATCTATGCAGGGACACATGCAGGTTATACAAATATGATGTATATTCTACCAGGGCCCGAGCAGCCATGGCTCTTGGGATCCTTGGGGTAAATTCCCTCATGAAATACGACAGATGACTGGAAGGCAAAATCACTGACTAATCATTGTCACTAGGGAATTAAGGCCAGGAAATGAGACATAAATGCATGTGGGATATTTGAAATGCATTAAGTGATATGTGGGTGTCCAGAATAGCAGCAGCAATAGCACTAGGATATGGACCATCTACTCACCTACCACCCAGGGACACACCAAGGAACGCTGGAGAGTCTGGCCTCTTCTCTCTGCTCTGCAAACCCCATTCAAAAACACAGTTTGCAGGGAAAAAGGTTGAGAACCAAGAGCTCAAACCCATGATTACTCTGAGATGCGCCATGTGAAACTTGAAAACAGGAGGGTAACACTGTATGAACAAAGGGTCTGACACAGCAGGCAAAGCTGAGCTTGTCAGTGTCCCACCCCCAACTGTGCTGGGGGCACCTCCCCGCCCTGGTCTAACCAGGCCCAATCTTCAGCAGGACCCCATCTTCTCTTGCCTCATGCCCAGCTACACTTATGTCATCCAGCTTTCTGTCCGGTGATTTCCATAGCGACACTACCTTCAGAGAACCTGCCTGGAGCAGGAAGCAAAACAGCTGTGCCTGAGACAGGGATTTAGCTCAGTGTCATGAGTGCCTGCCTGGCAAGCATGAGGTTATGAGTTCGATGTCTGGTAACACACACACACACACACACACACACACACACTCCAGCCACACTTAACTTTTAACAAAATCTTGGCCTATTCAAAGAACTCTTCATTGGCAGTGAAAAATGATTCAGAACTTTATTGAAAGAAAGCAATAAATAATACTGTGATTAAAATAGTTCAAAAGTATATATATGTATATGACTGTATACTTTGTTACATACTCAGAAAATTCCACAAAAATTAATAGAAAAAGGGCAGTAATATGGATTGTACAAGTGAATTGTATGTATAAACCAAATTATTTTTTTTCTTTTTCTTTTTCTTTTTTTTTCTTTTTTTTTTTTTGTCTTTTTCGTTTTTATCGGTACCAGGGATCGAACTCACGACGGCCTGCTTGCAAGGCAGGCGCTTATGCCACTGAGCTAAATCCCCAGCCCCTGCATAAACTAAATTAAAAAGGCATGCTGCCTCTACCCATGTATCAGTTGCACAATAAATAACATGCACCATGATCTGACTCCTTCCTTGCTGGCTTTTTAATATGCCAGTGAAAAGCAAGTTGCTTTTGCTACTTGTTCAATCCAAAATGGCTATGTCATCAAAATCTAAAAATGTATGACTAGTTGAAACATGTTTATAAACCAATGTAAAAAGGTGACTGACATATGAAAAATAAGGCCTTGATTAGTTAGAGTTGTACAACTTTATTTTCAGGGTTTCCTGCTCTCATCTGCTCATGCACCAATGTCTGTGAGATGTGAGCACAGTGCTCAGTGATTGGTCCTCTAAGAATAGCTGGAGGCACCTTCCACATGCTCACAGGAAAGAGGCAGGGAAGGTGCCAGGCTGGGGTCCACCCCTGGCCACTCCAGCCCTGCTGAGAGCAGCTCCAAGCTCATGGCTTCTGGTCAAGTCTCTGAAGACAAGCTCCCCAAGTCCAGAGACAGGATGGGGAAAAGGGAACCAGTGCTAAGAAAGTTCTATAGTGCTCTGGTGCAACGGTTCAGTCCGGACTTTATTAGACTCTGATTTCTTGCTAAAAAAAAGAACAGTTAAGGTCAGTCAACCTCAAAATATGACAACTGCTTGGAATGAAGTCTTCTGATTTTAAAATGACTGATGTAGAGCAAGGTGAAGGATAATGCACATTGCTTATGTCACAACAATTTTATAAATGTAGTAAACTGGGCTGGGGATTTAGCTCAGTGGCATAAGCACCTGCCTTGCAAGCAGGCAGTCCTGAGTTTGATCCCTAGTACCGATAAAAACAAAAAAGACAAAAAAAAGTGTAGTAAACTAATTTTTTCAGGGATGGCTTATCATTAAAAAGTTAAATAGTAATAATTACAATATGTGCACAATTTACAAAAGCCGTGTATTTGTTCATAGGGTTTATACATACAAGCATTACAGTACATTCATTTGAAAGACTAAAATTAGATATAAGAACATGAATTGCTTCCAGAGATATTTATAGCCTAAACATAGATGAAAAAGTAAGTAACTATATAAATGAAAAGTCCTAAGTTTACAAAAATAGAAGAAACATTAAATTCTAAAATATTTTCTGTATGTTATTGATGAATTTTTCACTAATTAAAAACTCTGTTATAAAATATCTTAGGAGTCCATATAACAAGTATTAACAGATAGCGATTCGACTGAATTAAAAAACGTAGTCTCTGTTGGATTCAAAATGCTGCATATCATCTGTAGAAGTAGTGCAGGAAAACTGGAAGATAAAAACAAACAGAAAGCCTCTCTTAACACAAACCACCTGGAAAAGGACCATGACTTCAGACACACACGCTGGGGCCCACTTCCCCAGGCCTCCTGCCTCCTCCCTGCTGGAGCGTCAGCAGACAGAACACTGAGGACCCTGCTCATGGACTAGAGAGGTTTTACATTTTGTGACAGTTTTAAAAGTTAAAGTTAAAAGACTATGGAGCCCATCCCAGATTCCAGCTGAGGCACTGAACACAAGCACAGTAGGCAGAGCTCCAGCTGGGGTTCTGATCACGGGTCAATGACACCTCTGCCATCAGTCAGTCAGAGCTCTAGACCATGAGGACACAAGTGGCTCACTGGCGCCCAGGCATGGCAATGCAGCTTTGTGTTTAAAATGTCTGCCATGTATGGTGGCACGTCTGCAATCCCGTATGTCAGAAGGCTGAGGCAGAAAGATTGCAAGTTTGAACAAGGACTAGATGATCTAGGAAGACCCTGTCCCCACTAAAAAGGGGATGGGGTGCTAGGGATATAGCACAGTGGGAACACTCTGGGTTCAATTCCCCATATATGTGTGCGTACATGTGTGTTTGTAACAAAGCCAGTATAGGAGCTGTGTACCACTGTGTATAAACACAGTGGAAGAGATGCTTCCCAATCTCAGGCTCTGGCCTCCTGGTGTGGTCAGCTTTTGGGGTGCTTTTTTCCTCAGTTGCTGCTTTCCTGCCCACCCCCCAACAATGGCATCAGCAGATCATCACTTCAAGTGAGTAGGCATTTTTAGCTTTTAGGAAAAAATGGGAACGAATGTGTTTTTCTTTAAAACTGGAGACACAAGGGAGACAGGAGAGGGGAGGTAAAAAGATTTAAGATGTCCTAGTACAGGTACCAACTCTCCATGATGAATTTAAGTACAACTAACTTACTAATAAAAATAAAAGTTAACAGAACAAAAATGACACACAGCCCTCTTTATGGTCAGCTAAAAACCAAAATCGCCTTGATGGGTACAGAGCTACTATTTCTGTCATTTTGAAGTTCCCCATGTAAATTGGCATGGTCTAAACCCACACTGTTAGCCCTGTTACAGCTTCACCCTGCTGTACAGGGATGATCTCCAGGGATTACGCTGCTCTCTACTCACCAACAGGAGGCTTAACAGGAGGAAGTCCTGGTTGTCGCAGAATCCAACTTCTGTGTTTCTGATACACTGCCTGTTCCAACAACCATGAGAGGAAGTGTGCAAAAACAAAGTGCTGTTAGTTTTAACACTTCACACGGGGCACAGGTAAGACACACATCTCCACACCTACAATGGTGTCTACTGAGGAATCCTAAGACTGCCTGGGAGAGTGAGGCAAGAGCATCAGAGGGCTGCCCAGAGTGGTTCTGTCACCACCCAAGGGGACACTGGCACCTAAAATAGCAATAGGGCCCCTTGGAAGTGCAAACCACCTCAGTGTGCACATACAGAAAGGACAACCACCTAACATAGCTACTCTGCAGCTCCTTAAGCCACACTTTGATATAGCAACTGGACTTTTCCTTGTGCCCTACAGCTAGACCTCCAGGAATGAATGGGGTGAATCAGCAGCATGAAGGGGAGGAGGGAACCCCAGCTGCTCTGCAGGCATTGCTCTCAGGGTGGGTTGCAGGCAAAGAGGCACAGCCCAGAGGCCATGGCCAGTGCTTCTCAGAAGACTAAAGCTTGTCTCAGTTTCTACAAAAAAGGATGGAGAACACGGAGGCAGGGGTCCTTGTTTGACAAACACTGGGTGGCTAAACAGGCAGTACAGCCCTGTCACAAACTGGGTAAAGAGCTTGCAACATCTTCTGCAGATATTTACACTCCCAGTTGTACAGTGTTTTGTTTTCCTGCAAGTATACCAGGAATACTTCTTAGCAACATCTTGCCATAGCTCTAGAAAAGACAGATAGCTGGCCGTGTTGGTAAGACTGGGCAGTCATTGTAAACCTTCATTCTAAAGTCTAGGAGACATGCTGTAATTTATCTTATACTCTCCACCTCACAAGTCATTTGTAACAGTCCACCTTCTTACCAATGTGGCATAGACATCTTCTATGTAATTTACCCTGACAACTTTTTCTATTCAATCCATTTAAATTTAGTGTTACACAGTTTGCCTGCACATGCCTGTAATCCTAGCACTCTGGGAGGTTGAGGCAGGAAAACTCCAAGTTCAAACCAGGCCTGGACAATTTAACAAGACCCTTTCTGGATAATAAAAGAAGGGGTGGTGTGTAGTACAGGTAGAAGGCTCCCTCCCCAGTACCACCCCAAACCCCAAAACAACAACCACAACCACAAAAATGCCACCAAAAAAACAAATCAACAACAAACAAACTCATTAATACTACCCTTTATTTTTGTTTTGTTTTGTTGAAACAAGGTCTCCCTGTGTAGTTCACACTGGCCCTACAATCCCTGTGAATTCGAGGCTGGTACTGAGCTCTCAGCAACCTTCCTGCCTTAGCTTCCCCAGTGCCGGGATTACAGGTGATCTCCACACCCAGCTATGTTAATATTGCTTGCAATGTTCAGAGAGAAAATGTGATTCTTATAGTGAAACAGAAATTGAAGGTACAGGGAAAACAACAGAGTACTCATTTAGACTATTTAGTAAGCCAATGGAAATTAAGCTCAAGGCCCGTCACAGCTTACTTACTTATCTATTTTATTTATGATACAAGGTCTTCCTATGAAGCTCAGTATAGCCTTAACCTGGATTTATGGTTCACATACATCTCAGATTCATGATTTTCCTGCCTGAGCCTCCCAAGTACTGGAATTACAGGCATGCACTTCCACGCCTTGCCAACATTTGTAAGACACCTTGAGGGAGAAAGTGTTAATTCTTAAGAACTTACTAGTTAAAAGACACATTGGAAAGTGTTCAGCTTTAAAAAGTTTATATAAATGTATTTTTCTCTGATTTTCATACAGGCAAGAAAGAGAAAAAAGGAAAACTACCTACACAGGGGGCTAACAACAGGAAACTTGTAAAAACCCCACTGGTACAGTTTATACAGCACAACCATGTACATCAGGAATGAGAAGGAATGAAGTCTCCACCTAACACTGAGATTGTCAGCAATGCACGAGGCTCAGGACTCCATCAGCTTCACCCACATGACACATTGAAGCATCAAAATCACATTACTATGATGCCCAAGTTACAGATATGGAAACTGAGGCACAGCACAGCTGCATGACTTGCTCAAGGTCATGTCCCTGCTACCACAAGAGCTGGATGTGGATGTGGGCTCTCTCAGGACCCTATCAGTGCCTTTTACTAGGTGGGCAGGACTGTCAGGGACTCAAGGTCTCCTCTCAGCCAACTGCACTCTTCAGTCAGCAGTTACATAAGGGCCATCCCGACTGCACTGGAAAGGTCAATGCCTTGCCATCTCTCACTGAGAAGGCAGCAGGGCTGCCCTAGCGGTCTCCACAAGGCTTCTGCCTTCTTCCCTGTCCCTCTTCAGGTGGCACAAGGTAAGTATATGGAAAGATAACACTGGAGGGAAGGGAAAAGGAAAGACAGAGTTGGCAGAACCTGGAAGTTGTGAGCTAAAGTTTACTCCGCCATTTCTTCTAGTGTGGAGAGAAGTCCCAAGTGTCACACTGCAATTTTCCTGGCAAGCCAGTGCTGCCTGCCACACACTGCACCCCACAGGTGCATCAGCCTCAGCCCTGAGAGCACAGATGGGTGCTCCACTTTATTAGTTGGGCAAGGATGCTAAGGTTCAACCAGACAGATTTTTTTAAAATTCTCTTATTGTTGTTAACCATTTTCCAACAAATGTTAGGGCTAATCCTGAACCATTGACACCTGGGCATGCAACCAAATTCAGATGCTTTGTAACACATACAATGGCCACTCTAGGTAATTATTAGCGCGCACATGCTCCCAGCCAGTGTTGCATTACATGGCCCACCACATACCATCCATCTGGATCTCATTGGGCTGCATAGAGCAGAAAGACTTGGAAGAAGAGACTCGGAAGTTTGCAGGGAGTGTCTCTGATGACCCAGTTGCCACGCCGTGAATGGCCTTTTCTCTAACCTTCTCTCTCCATGAAGGTGCTCTCCTAAAGTGTTTGTCATCCTCCTGGCAAATGAAAACACAGAACAGGCACACTCTAATAAAGATAACTGTCCTTCAGAAGGACTCCTAAGCCCCTGACTGTTTTGCTTTACTTAGCCTTTCCTGGTGACCTTCCAATGTGCTGCACACACTGGAACTTCAGTGTGAGAGGAAACATGATTACATTCCTGCTGGGCCCCAACTGGAGAAACGAGGGCAGTCCTGGGCACCAGGGATGTGATTTTCTCACCCATCAGAATATTTTATTTCTTACTGTGGACAAGCTCTTGCCTGCTATATAATGTACTTTTATTTATTTTCAAAATATTCTGGCTACAAATAATCCAACAAATGCTTTGCTTCCAGATTCAGCTTCCATCTTCTTTGTGAAAATCAAGTACTCTTGGAGCTCACTGAAGACAATCGTAATGTATGGCAACAGGTGAGTTATGATTTAGCATGAGGGGAAATTTAATATACTTTTGAAAGAAACCTTCCAAACAGAAGAACTGGGGCAGGACAGTCAGCTGTCACCAAAACACAACTTAAGACTTTGATCGCAGGCTGCAATCTGTTTGACAATATAGAAATAATTTTTGAAGGTTGCCAAAAATTAAGTAGTGGACCAAGAGCAAGGATCAGTAGTAGAGCACTCAACTGGCATATGTGAAGCCCTGAGGTTGATTCCTAGCAGTGAGAGGAGAAAAAAGCTGAAAACTTACGACATCAAAACGTCTGACAGTCCCAAGGACCAAAAGGTCGGCAAATTCTTTGTCCAAGACATTTCGAGCCTGAAGTAACAAAACAACAACTAAATATATCTGAAGGATGTTACACATTACAATTTTTTAAAACAAAGACTTCAAAGACTCACATGCTTGCAACACAAACTGGAAAGAAAAGATAGTGAAAAATCAAGCATTTGCTTATTTTGAACTACCATATTATAGATTAGTTATGGAAAGTGATTACTAGTTGTCTAGAGTTAAATTTTCTCTCCATTCAAATGAAAAATAAGTATTCTAGAACCACAGAAAAACCGAACACTGTGGCTAAGCAGACAGAGGCACAGACTCCGTTGTCACCTTTCTGTTCTCTGTCGGGATCTGTAACAACAGGGCCAATGTGTTGTAATCGAAGGCTTCATCTAAGGCCAGCTGCGCGCCATGAACCCCACTCTCTATGAGGTTGTTTGCATATTCTTTAAGGCCAATGGATATGACCCAGCGAATCACTCGATCATTGCTCCAAACAAGCACATCTGTGAAAGAACAAAACAACTGTAAATGTGGCTTCAGAAAACCTCTTCATCATACATGTCCTGCAATGCAGGGGAAAGATTCCTAGCATGGATCTTGATCCCTCAGCTCCTGAAAATGGACTCCACACTCACAAATACTGACAGACACACACCTAGACACAGCTGTTTTGGTTCTGCCTCATTCTAATAAAAACTTTCCCTTTAGAAGCCTCCCCTAGTGCACTCAGGTGTCACAGTAAGATTGTGGATGGGATATATTCAGGGAACAATACAGCATGATTGGCTGAGGATGTAGCTTGGTGGCAGATCACTTGCGTAGTATGTACAAGGCCTGGGGTTCAATCCTAAGACTGCAAAAACATCAGGCTGAGGGTCAGAGTCAGACCTAGCACGTATAAGCATGTTTCCTACACAGACCCCAGGGTCTCCTGATATGCTTCTCCATCATGAAAGGGGCAGATACCATGACAGTTCAGATACCTTGCTGAGTTCAACACAAACTCTTTGCTTCTGACCTTCTGACCTTCGTTTTCTTTTACTTTTTCTTGTTGTTGTACTGGGAATCAAACTCAGAGCCTTGTGCTTACCAGGTAGGTGCTAAGCCACTGAGCCATACCCCAGCCCCTGTGCTTCTGAAGCTTTGGTCATATCAACATCTTAATATATTACAAAGAAAGAATTTTAAAGACATTCCAGCATACTAGATTTTGGCAATCGTATATCATACAAAGATAATTATTAAATGTATTCTATTACAGACCAAAAAATTGCCACTCTGTAAAAATATATCTGACCACCAATCTTTTCAAAGACTGCTTTTGCCAACTGACAAAATATGGAGAGGGGATATAGAAAACAAATTAAATGGATTAATACATTTCATGTCTGATTTTTTTTCTCAACTTTGTTTTGGTACCAGGGATCAAACTCATGACCTTGCACTTGCCAGGCAGCTGCTCTGTTGTTGAGCTATATCCCCGGCCATGACTTTCTTTTCTAAATAGACCTCAACGTATTCTTTGTTTTAAAAGAATTAAAACCCAGGCCTTGCACAGACTAGGCAAGTGTCCTACCACAGGGCTACATCCCTGGCCAATAGATAATCCTTTATTTTATTTAGAAAAAGACATCAGAATGAGGATGAAAATAACAGAACCACGATGCAGCCTGAATGAATCAACTATGGAAGACTTGACACAGTGCTTGATCATTATTCAGTAAGTCTCATTTCTTCTCATCACTGCAGTGCTATTAGTAACTACCGAGAATTCTGAGAGACTCTCGTGAGCATGACATTCAGTGTTGTCTTCAGAGAAAATGCCTGTCCCTGTCATACTGAGGGGGCTGCCATGCCCTCTCCTACCTCCTGGCCTGTTTCTGACATGTCTTTCCTTTGCCCACAGGACACTCTGTGGTTTCTGTAAGGACTGCAATCCCAGTTAGTATGGGTGCTGTGGCAGGAGGGTCACAGGTGTAATCCCAGACCAGGGTACTTAGTGAAATTCTGTCTCAAAATAAATAAATAAATTACAAAATTATGGGTGCTAGGCTATTGGTTGCCTTGACCTCTCCCTCCCTCTGGGAGCAGAACTGTGTGCCCTGCATGCTGCCACAGGCCTTAGAAAAAGCTCCCAAAGCTGTAGTTTTGACCTCTATCCAGTAAGCAAAAGGCAGTGGCTTGTTTGCCTTGCTCTGATCTAATAGCATAAGGCAGCATCTCTGAGAGAGCGTATACAGTGTACAACAACAAAAGGAAAACTACATGAAAGAATGCCAGCACCAAGAGGGTAGCCTACAGACTGAGATAAGCACACACTGTCTCAGGGCACCCCTTTTCATACCTCCTCTTGTTATCATGCCAAGCCAGTTGTTTCCACTTAAAAGTCTTCCCTGATTTATTTTTTTGTGGTACTAGAGACAGAAGCCAGAGCCCTGAGCATGCTAGGCAAGTCTTTTTTCACTGAACTACATTCTTAGCACCCCTAATTTTCAAATCTAGTTTTAGTGTTCTGAGACAGGGTCTCACTAAATTGCCAGGTCGGCCCTGAATTTGTGATCTTCCTGCCTTAGTATTCTTAGTAGCTGGAACTGTAATTTGTTTAATTTCCAGATAAATGTATGATTATTTTGTGCTTTTTTTTTTTTCAGTCCTAGGGATCAAACCCAGGGCAATGCAAGTGGTAAGCAAGTGCCTTATCACTAAGCCCTTGATTTCTTTTTGAGGTACTCAGGAATAAACACAGGGATTTGCACTGAGCTGCATCTCTAGCCCTGTTATACTTTTCATTTTGACAGAAGGTTTCACGGAGTCCAAGCTGCCTGGGCTAGGCTTGTGACTCTGCTGCTATATCCTCCCAGAGTGCTAGGATTGCAGGTATGTGCCAGCTCAGCTGGCTGCTATACTTTTTCAAACAGGCAATCACCCAGGCTGCCTGGGAAGCAGCAGGCATGTGCTGCATCCATCCGGCATAATGTACTTGCCTTTAACTACATCCTGACTTTCTTCTCTTCTTCTTTCCAGTTCTTTCCAATCATAATTTAACCTTTTCAGGCACATAAGTCCACACTGGAAGCTGTTCCTATTTACAAAATAAGGGGTTATTTAACGGTGGCAATGTGAAGTCTCTTGATCCGTTAGGAAGAAACACTTGCACTGCCTCACCTGTGAAAACTGTCAACCATTTTCAGCCGCCCCCGCAGGTCTTTCTTGGTCAGGTGGTCCAGCATCCGAGCATCCACAAGGCACTCCATGAAATAGCTTCGGTACTGAGGTAGGCCCAGGCTGGGCAGCCACTCATTGCCAATCCACTCGTGGTCCATGTCCCCATATGCAAGTGTCTGATTTCAACAAATGAGTGACATCAGTTCAGATTTTTAATCTAGACAACATTCTTAAAGGCTAAATGAATGACAACATTGCTTTTCATAATTTCTAAATATTTGGTCTCCCATTCCTACCTTTTCAAATTCCTAAAGTTTTATCCAACAGAAATCATATTGGCAAAATTTTATGACTCATTTAGGACAATTTACCAAGCTATAGAAAAATCATACCTGTCTATAAATTCCTTTTCTGAATTAGTTTTCAATATAATAATATAGGAATAAAGAATGATCATGACTCATGAACAAGTTTGAAGAATCAATTCAAATCATTCAAATGAGCTCTAGCTGGTTTTAATTTTATTTTTAATACTTTGTCTTCCTAAATGACAAGTGTATTTGAAAATCAGGAAAAGTAAATTTAAAATGATAAACGAACAACTAATGAGACTAAGAACAAAAACAGAAAAATACAATTAAATTTAGAAGACTTCAACACTCCTCTCTTAACAACTGGTTCAATGTGCCAATCAAAAAACCAAAAAGGACTAAGAAAAGGAAAACAATCAGGAAGGCTACAGACAAAAACAATACTGTCAATCAATCTGACCCAGATATAACTTACACTTTTTCCTTTCTTTTTTTTTGGGGGGGGGGTACTGGGAATTGAACTCAGGACCTCATGCTTGCAAGGCAGGTGCTGCAACACTGAGCTAAATCCCCAGCCCCTCCCCACAACCTTTAAAGACAGAGATTCCCATTATATTACCAGGATTGAGTGCAGTGGCTATGCACAAGCACTCCCTATGCAAAGAGATATTGATGCCACTCTTAGTATGATGTCCATCTTAGTTTAATGCCCAATTGTCATAGGACATTATAACAGCCAACTTCTGGGCTCAGTCTCTTGAGTTTTGGCAACTACAGGGGTGCATCATCACATCTGGCTTCAGGACGTACTTTTTTGTGGTGTGGTATGGTGGTGCATGCCTGTAAACCCAGCACTCAGGAGGCTGAGACAAAAGTATTTCGAGTTTGGGACTAGTCTGCACTACACCAAAAATAAGGAATCATGGTAAGTAGGTTTACTGACTCAGGAATAGGTTGGTTCACCAACTGAGGAGGAAAAAAAAAAAATCAATGAAATTTGCCCAATTACGAGATCAGCAAAGAAAGCCATGTCTCATAATACCTTATGTGGCACAAGATCCATCATTCAGTTATGAAACTCAGCATTCTAGGACGAAAGACCCACCGCCTCAATCTATTAAGGGTCATCTACCAAAAGCCTGCAGCTAAAAACCTCACAATGAGGGACCAAATGTCTCCCTGAACGGAAAGAAGCACAAGGGGTGTCCACTGTCACCGTTTATGTTTGGCTGTGCTGGAGACCTGGCCACTGTAATGGCAGGAAAAACATAAAAATGGCATGAGTTGAGAAAGACATAAACCTCTCTTTATTAGTAAATGACACAATTATCATTGTTGAAAAAGTCTATGAAATAGCTATTAGGATTTATACATGAATTTAGCAAAGCTGCTGAATATACAATGAATACACAAAAATTAACATTTCTAAATATACAAAATGAACTGGAAATTGAGATTTTAGAAGTATCTTATATAATGGCACTAAACTGCATAAAATCCTTAGCAACCAATTCAACAGAATATGTCCAAGGTCTGTACAATGAAAAATAGACATGATATACAACCACTTCACAGAGAATGGTTCGTTATGCTCTCCAGCTAAGGAAGATTAAATTACATTCACAGGAATCCTAAGGTACATTGAGGAATCCTTTAAAATAAAAACTATCCATTCCCATCCATCCTCTCCTGGCTTGAACTCAGGGTTTCATACCTGCTAGGCAAGCACTCTAACCTGAGCTACATCCCCAACCCCTTACAACAGGGTCTCACTAGGCCCAGGCTGGTCTCTAAGTTGATATCTTCTAGCCTCAGCCTCCTGAGTGATGGGATTACAGTCATAAACCACCATGCATGGCCTCCATGTTTGGTTTAGAACAATGGATTCCACTCTAGTATTTTATTTGTTCCAGTCAAGATACAAGGGATGGCTCAGCTAAGAGGAATGTTCCAATTCTAACAGAAAAGATTTCATAACTTTCTTTAAATGATGAGTGACAAATATACCACTATGGTAACCATTAAGATACCTAACAATGTTACCATGATGCAGTCCTTTGAGTCATACTTTCATGGGCCTGGGATTCACAGCCTGAATATTTGATGTTTTCTGGCCTGCTGACTATGCTCTCTTCTAATGAGTAGAAGAAATCTTCCAAATAAAAAGCTGTGCGGAAGCAAACCCTCCATATCTCTGTTTACTACTTTTGCAGTTGCTGATAATGCAGATTCTGACAGCTCAGACTCAGTTTGAGGGAGAGCCTCCTCCTCTCCCTGGCTGCCACCACAGCCTTCTGAAGAAGTGTGCAAAGGGACCTCATGCTCCAAGCATGGACAAGTCACGCTCAGTCTCAAGGTCAGTAAAATGCGAGCTCCATGAGAGTGGGACTGCAGCTGTCCTGCTCATTAATGGCTCCTGGCAGCTGGCACAGCCTTCTTACACAGCCAGTCATATCTTACATCTGATATGCGAACAGTTCTGACCACACTTGAGTGTTCCTTCCAAAGCTCAGTCAGGAGTGAGGCCACCCAGTGCCAGCACGGGCAAAGCACAATGCTTTGTGCTAGCATAGCTCTGTCCTAGCAGCTCTGTCTGGGAAAGGATGGTGGCAAAGTGCACCAAGCTTCTGCAGAACATTGCATGTGGGGTAAATCTGGAATCTTCTGCATGGGCCCCTTTTATATGGTCACTGCAAAAAGCAAATGTTAAGCTTATTCAACTACACTTTATGTCTCTGATGCTATTTCATATTGAAGTGGTGACCATATTCTACTTTGTCTTTTGGAATATATTGAAACTTACGTAATTATGAAATGCACTGCTTAATTCACTGATGGTCATTGTTGGTCCTGTAGAGAGACCTCTAACTAGGTGAATTTAAGTGATTCTAGAGGCAGGGAGTATCTAAACCCAGGGAGGGAAACCCAGTTAGTAGCTATTCTCTTTCTTCTTAGTTTTTGTTTCTAAACTTTTTGTAATTTTGAGACAGGATTTTACTATGTAGTTTAGGCTGACCTTGAACTCATTATGTAGCCTATGCTGGTCTCAAATTTGCAACAAACATGCTTGATCAACCTCCCAAGTCCTGGGATGACCCATATGTGTCACCAAGTTCCACCTCTCTTTTTTTTCAAATGAACAAACAAAACAAACAACCAAGTGCTATAACTGAATAACCTTTAGAAATGCAAACAGAAGCAACTGTTTCAAGCATCATCTTGGAATCAGCAAATTCTAATCTTAACTCATTTATACTTGCTTTCAGACATATGCTAACTCTTCTGAGCCCCCGAATACCATGCCCCTGGGAAAAGCTGAAGAACTACAAGTCCCCTGGTACTGCACTGTGCCCACCAAAGACCCAAGAGGGCAGAGGGATGCTGGGAATTTAACCAAGTCATCTGACTCAGACACTGTAAAACATGGGGCAGAGCTTTCTGTGTAGTGAAGAGTTAGGCAGCTGAAATTCAATCTCTGTGAAGTGATAAGCCTTAATTTCTGAGAACTCCATTACTAAGATCTTTAACTCAACACAGTAGGGCAGTACTTAGTCAAATAACAATATAAAGACATAGAGGGAAAGGCCCCATGCCAACTTTCAGGTTTAGAAGTGTATTTCATGATTTTTTTCAGCAGTACATTTTAGAACAAAACTAACCCAGCAACGAACTACATGTACATAAACTCAGGAGTTGCCTAAACCAGGGGACTTTGTATAAAAGATTCTATTCATAAATAAAACAACCTTCGTTCAAAGTAATTTCCATGATCCCATATGGGAAATGTTCAAAATTATCCATGAGATGTAATCTTTAATCCTGTGATTTATTTGATTACATTCTTCAAGTCATTAATGATACTATGAATAAATTAAGGTGTGAAAAACACCTACTAAAGCAGGTCACACAAGTTTACATCCTCAATTGCTTTTTGTTGCTACAGAGTGAAGAAATATTATAGAAAGACTCCAACCTTATCCAGCTTCCCTCCTCATCTTCCTGATGTTAGGTTGTTAGGAATGTAAAAGAACATAACTATTAGTATTAGTGAACTTTAGTAGTGTAAGCAAATTAATTCTGCAGGGAACATGCACCTTGACTGAGTGAAAAACATTCAAAATATCAATGCCTCATGCAAAAACTCATGAAAATCCAAGAATTTCAATTTTCCATGCAAGGAGCAGACTTTTTCCATGCCAACTAACCTCATACAGTAGACTGTTGGCGTTAGACAACCACAACGCAGTGCTCAATGGAGGTCTCTCCAAAAGGAGAAGCAAATTACATCTTCTCTAAATGGGGCAAATCTATAAACTAAATTCTTGTAAAAATCTAAAAAATGCAAATACGACTATACGCTATGAGCTAATAACCTAAAAAGAACACATTATATTTGAAACAAATGCAAATTAACTTTTGTTTTCAACAAAAGACAAAGTCTGGAGTAGGAAACCCACTTTGGAACATGAGCTGCAGGGCTGACTGACCATCTGAGATGTGGCTGCGAGTGTTTCCATCTCTTCATGTGTTAACCAGACATTTCCTGTGGCCTAAGGTGACCCCAGTGCACCAGCCACATCCAGGGCAAGGGAAGCATGACAGAAAGGAGAAGGACGCACATATGAGCCACAGGCACAGTAAGGAGCCACGAGGCAAAGGTCACTCTTTGCACATTTTCATTTCATGCACCCACAGAGAAAGCCAGAGATCATTAACACAGGCTCATCCTCTTTTAAACAATAACAGTGTGATCGGAATATAAGGAGAACAGCACACAATTTCCAGATCACATGCTTAAAAGTATGGATGAGAACATACTTTATATTTCTGAAAAGTTACTTTCCCCAGTAACTGATGATTCAATAGACAGTATTTTCAATAGTCTCACCATGTTGGAGGTATAGCTCATGATAGGGTTTTTGCCTGGCTCTCCCAAAGCACTAGGTTTAAGCCTCAGTACAGCAAAACAAAAGAATAAAACAAAACACACAGAAAGCAGTCTCACCCCAACACAGGCTAACAACAGGATGCTCTGGCCTTGGCTTCCTGTGGCTGCTTTCAGCAGATGATCCAAAGCCAGAGGAAGCCCAGGAGGCCAGGGCACAAGATAGTGAGCACAGGAGAGCCAAACAATGCAAACACCAAAAACAAAGCACTTGTCACCATCTGAGTCAAACCTGAGACTGATGGCCACTCTGCTAGCCCACTGTAAGCTCCCCAAGAACAGCAATTTCTGTGTTTGTAACTGGTGATATGGAGAGTCTTTCTGATGTGAGGTCTAGTCCTTGCCAATAGTTCAACTGAATCACAGAAGCTCCCTTTTGAAAGAGGGTTCTTAAAAGCTTTGAAAAAGCCATGCAGCATCTTCATTTCTACAAAGCCCACATTAATGTGGAAATAGCTGCAGAACAGACTGATACTGGTTACAAAACATTCCACCAAGGGAAAGTGTTCTTTGGCCATACGTTAAAAAAAAAAAAAGGCTTATTGTTCATTTTCATAATTCTCTAACAACAAAATCTTCACACTTTTTTGTGTATAAAGTTACTGTAGGCAGACCTTGCTCTGCTGCTCAGAAGGATGTCTACACAGCTCTAAGAGTTTGTTGAACATCTAAATGAAAAACCCCTGAACTTTGCAACTTAAGAGCTGGCCTGCTCTTCCCTTCTAATAACCACCAATGTTTCATCAGAAGAGTCACCAGGAAGCTCTTTGAGGGCTCTTCACTACTCCCCAAGTGGACAGCATCTTTGTGAGCACAGGCATGGTTGGACAGACACATGCAGCTCCCAAGACCCAGAGCACCTGCTGGTGCCGTGACACACAACCACAGTGCATCTAGGAAACTCAGCATTTTTCCTCCTTTAGTTCTTGTAGGGAAAAAAAGACATCCACAAAGAAGAGAAGCTTAGAACCGTCCAGGAACCAGTGGATTTCTGGGAGGTGACCACCCCTTGTTAGCATGTCAACTGTATGTCAGTGGCACCTCTGGACTGCCACAAATTACAGTTACTCTGTAAGTCCCGCCTATATGTGCAGTGATGCAGATGCACTCACACGCACAAGACTGAAGGAAAGAAGCCACACACAACAAAGTAAGGGCAGCCCAACCTAGTTTATAGCCAAGGGGCCGTAGCCAGGTGCTTATTTATGCCCGGGGATTGTATGCAAGGGTTTATACATTCCTGGGCTTATCTGTATATTTTGCTACCTGTATACTTGAAGAAAAACAATATTTTCTGCAAATAATTTGCTTAGCAAGTACCTTTATATACAGTACAAGTGCTAATTATTGTTTAAACTATGAAATAGAAATCAAAGTTCAAGGATAGAATACTACTTAAAATACTAACTTTTCCTTCCTCAAGAGGTCCTTAAACTTACTCAATTTTGACAAATTCATACATATGTTTGTGACAATCAGTTTTCTACCTTTCAAAAAGCCTTCTTTCTTAAACGAGGCCTTTCTAACCAAGTTTTATTCATTTATGTAATTATTTATTTTTTGGTCTTTTCTGAAACGGGATCTCATTACGCAGTTCAAGCTGTTCACACTGTAACCCACTGGCCTCGAACTCACAGTGATCCTCCCACCTCAGCCTTCTGAGTGCTGGAACTACAGGCATGTGCCACCACGCCTGGCTTTAACCACACTTTTACACAAGCAGTTCACACATTTTCTTTGGATCACTCAACCCCTCCAAGTTAGGGGCTGTACTATGCTTTCCTTAAATTTTAAGTTGAAACCACCCTGTATGATTAGGAAGCAGCACGGAAACATTAGCAGGCCACTGCTTTTGTGGGCTCTGCCTTCCTCCTCCACAGAGGGCACACAGAGCCTCTGTGAACATACCTTTTTCAATGTGGGTGGAGCCGAAGGGCTGGTGAGCCACAGGGTTTCCTGGATGGCCAGCCGCAGCTTCAGTCTGTGCAGAGGGTGGCTGATGCCAATCTCTTGCTGGATCTGTCTGTCTGACAGAGCTGACATGATGGCCCCACTTTTCACATTTGCTCTGCAGGCAGCCACATAGCAAGCAGGCATCCCAACCCAGAGCTAGAAACAAGAATCAAAAGACCAGAACATCAGGTAGAGACAGGAGATGCACGACAAGCTTGTGTTATCATAGCATAGGTCTCTGTAGTAAAGGGATGTACCTCCAGCCATTCAACCACGGTTGGCCCGTCCCACTGTGAAAATGGTAAGCCTTGCCTCTGGGCTTCCTCCAGCAACTCAGGCCTGTGAAAAAGAAGACATTCAAATTAAAGAAGCACTGTTACACATCCAACAAGTTAATGGAACAGTCTCTGAGCATTTTCAAAAGTATAACACATATTCTCAGTTCCTTTTATCTTCTACAGTTTTAATGTTATTAACATCATCCTTGTAATGACAGTCACACACATACTATGGAGAATGCCTGAGAAAATAAAAAATGCTACAGAGTTCTCTTGATTCCCAGTCAAATCACCATTACTTCAGAGAATTGAAGAATTACTACCAACTTATAAAACTCAAGCAGAATTTTCATATCCAAGGTAGTAAGACAATTAGGGGAAAACATGAAACCCTACTTCAACAATGAAGAAACAGTATCTAGGAAGAGGAAACCACACCTCAGTTGAGACATCAGTGCCTAACTTTGTGAGAGACTTTAAAAAACAGTGTTTTTGGGGGGTGGTGGTGGTTTGGGGAATGTTGAGACAAAGTCTTGCTATGTATGTAGTCCAGGTTGGCCTCAAACTCTGTGTAACCAGTCTCCCCCAGTGCTTGGATTATAGATGTGTTTCATACTCCCAGCTGTAATGCAGACTTTTAACCACAAAAAGATTATCGTCTAATACAGCAAACAAGTAACAGAGGACAGTTTCTATTGTACACTGTTCTTTAAGTAAACGGGTACTTGATAAGTCACTGGGTCATTCTGTGGTTTTAACCCATTGATCTCTTCTTTAGCCAGCCAAAGTTCCCAACACCTCCTTCAATGCCGAATGTATCACCTGCACAGAAACTCATGCAATACCAAGGCAGTACTGCAGGGAAGTGGGTAGGTGAGTCTTGCATGCACTCCGTAATGTGATTTGAGGTTTCATATATGCTTTATTTCTAAAGACTCAAGTCACACTTTTACTATACTAACATCTCTAAAAGTGACTTGTGTAACACAGTTATGTGAAACAGTAACATTGTAAGCATGGTAAGTCTGACATTAGAACACAAAGGACAAGTATGTTTCAGATACACAAACACCGAAGAAGAAGAAAAAGGAGAAGGAGAAGGAGAAGGAGAAGGAGAAGGAGAAGGAGAAGGAGAAGGAGAAGGAGAGGAAGAGGAAGAGGAAGAGGAAGAGGAAGAAGAAGAAGAAGAGGAAGAAGAAGAGGAAGAAGAAGAGGAAGAAGAAGAAGAGGAAGAGGAAGAGGAGGAGGAAGAGGAGGAGGAAGAGGAGGAGGAAGAGGAGGAGGAGGAGGAGAAGGAGAAGGAGAAGGAGAAGGAGAAGGAGAAGGAGAAGGAGAAGGAGAAGGAGAAGGAGAAGAACAACAACAATTTTCTAGTTGAAACAAGCAAAGCTATTCACAGAGAAACAGATCAGCAGAAGTGTGCTCCTAAGTACAAGAAGTAGTAGGCTACTGTCATGGTTTATGTCTGTGGCCCCCAGGCCTCATGCATTTGCATTGTGCATTTGTGATGGTTCATTGTCTAGTGCTTGGATTCATGGTGTCAGTGTTACACCCACATAAGAGTGGAGCCAGGATATGATGTAATGGTAGGAAGAAAGTGTATCTTGCTCTTTGCCTGTTCCTACTTGCTGTTTGCAGCCACCATGAACTGTGACCCAGCCATGCCCACCTGCCTTGGAGCCAACTGAGTGTGGACTGAAACCTCCAAAAACTGTAAGAAATAAACTTTTCCTTTCCAAACTTGGGCTTCAGGTATTTTGTCTCAGCAACGAGTAAAAAGTAACTAAGACAGAATTTGGTACCGAAGAATGGGGTTGTTTGCTGTGACTATGCCTTACCACGTTTTTCGAGAGGCTTTGGAAATGGCTTGTGGGTAGAGTTTGGAAAGGTTTGGATATGTTGCCTAGATGCATAGAGCTAGAGCAGCTTAGGCAGTTCTGTAGAGGAGGTAGTGGTCACAGCTCAGGAGACCAGAAGGCTGATACGAAGCCTGATGGTAAAGACCAGGCCTGGGAGGTTTCTGCTGGGAAGAAGGACTGCAGTGGTTGTTGGACTCCCCATGATGTGAGTTGTGGGTTGGCAGAAAGTTGTCTACATTTTGCTCATGTCCAGAGACTTTGCCTGAGACTGAAACAAAGGGCAATGGACTGATTAATCTTGAAAAAGAAATTAAAAAGCAATCAAATGTTGAGTCTGTGGCATGGCTACTGTAGAGGGCTTTTAGCCAGCTTTATGTTGCAAATCAAGAGGAAAGAGCCCAGCGGGATAATTTGCAATACTGTGAGTTTGGCCAGAAAGAATATTTCAGGAAGGCTGTGGATTGTAAAGACAGTTGAGATTCTGATGGCTGAGGGAAAACAGAGAAATAAGAAAGATGGGCCGGGGGAATCCCAGGAAGCAGGTCCCCACCCTGTGCAGCCTCACTGCAAAGGTAAAAGAATTTTTTCAGAGGAGAAAGCTGCAGAGCACCAGGTTCCAGAATGGTGACAGAAACCACATGAGTTTCCAGAATGGTGACAGAGGCCACATGAGCTTCCAGAATGGTGGCAACATAGAGAAGCTTTTCCTCACAATCAGGTAAACAGAGCCCTGTGATCCAGGCAACTGACCCCTACAGCCAAGAGAGAGAAAAGCCTGAGTACTGCTCTAGTTAGCAGCAAACCTTGGCAACATCCACATGGTGCTGATTTTAGGTGCTAGGAAAATACACAAATTCTGAGGGTAAGATGGCTTCTACCTCAATTGCAAAGGGCCTGGGAGGCCAAGCTGTGTGCCACTGAGAGGGCAATTTGTGAAGACATAAAGGTGAAGCCAAAGGTGCAGTGGAGACCCCAAAAGTTTGGAAAAGCCAGAAACGTGGATGATCCAAGGAAAGCTCCAAAAATCGAGCAGAGAGGATTTAAGAGAAAAGCTGCAGGAGGTGAAATCCCTGGAAGTGCCTTGGGGGTGGAATCACGCAAGCCTTTTGGAGCTTGTAACCATATTGCTTCAGATGCGGAGCAAGGAACTCTAGGACTTAATATTCATCCTGCTGGATGTTGGATTTGCTTTGTTTCCAATGCTTTATATTCCCCTGCTTCTAACTTTTGGAATAGTAATGTTTATTTTGTGCCTTTGCATTTGAGAAATGTTTAAACTTGTTTCATTTGTACAGGGGTTACAGTTAAGAGTTTGCCATAGATCATGGAGGAGACATGGGACTTGGACTGTTCAGCAATGCTGAAACTTAAGACTTTGGAAACTCTTGGTGGTGGACTAAATGTCTTTTGTATAAAGGATGTACAAGAGTCCTGGGGGCCAGGGGAGGAATGTCATGGTTTATGTCTGTGGGCCCCCAGGCTTCATGTATTTGTATTGTGCATTTGTGATGGTTCATTGGTAGTGCTTGGATTGATGGTGCCAGTGCTATACCCACAGAGGGGTGGAGCCAGGATGTAATGTAATGGCAGGGAGAAGGTGTGTCTTGGTCTTTGCCTGTTCCTGATTGCTGTTTGCAGCCACCATGAACTGTGGCCCAGCCATGCCCTGGAGCCAACTGAGTGTGGACTGAAACCTCCAAAAACTGTAAGAAATAAACCTTTCCTTTCCCAACTTGGCCTTTAGGTATTTTGTCTCAGCAATGAGTAAAAAGTAACTAAGACAGCTACCAAACCTGGCTACAGAGCTGCTATGACTCATTTAAGGAAACAAGAAACACACACACACACACACACACACACACACACACACACATACACACACAGAAAGAGAGAGTGTGTGACAAACATACAGAGAGACAGACAGACAGACAGACAAACAGACAGACAGACTGACTGACCCCAAGAAGCAGTGTAAATCCATTTCTGGGTAAAGATCTGAAATTCTGTAATACTAAGTGAGGGTCTCTCCTGGATGCTGTGGCCAGGCCAGGGAAGAGGAAGACTACTGCTGTAGGTCAGAAGCACTTCTAGATTATGTGCATATTCAAATAGACTAAGTAAGAACTATGTCCTCAGTAGTCTAAAAATGATTTTGTTGATGTTTTCATTATTTGTGATGGTACTGGGGATGGAACCAAGCACTCATTGAACTAAACCGCCAGCCATTTGTACTATACTTTTTATCTTGAGACAGTTTCTTAAGTTGCCTAGAACAATGGTATTGTCATCATAAATGACCCTCCTGCCTGGACCTCCCAGGTAGCTCGGATGATTAAAGGTACATACCATTGCACAGCTGTATTTTGTGAAAGTACATACCAGACATGCACTGCGAACAAGAACAAGGCCCACTACCTGAAGCTTGGTATAAACTGCTGTTGCCTTTACTTACACCTTCCTCCTCCTTACACCTGCGTCCAGATGCAGCAGTGGGAGTGGTGTGAAGGTAGCAGAAGTAGGATGATGCATTCAAAAGTCATGGGATGTTAGGAAATAACACAGAAGACCCTGGCTGGGGAGTTGGCCCAAGTTCCACCTACAGGTAGCTACACCTCCCCTACCAGGTAGTTTGTGGACTACGAGATTGGGCACCTAACCTTGGTTAACACGATAGGTGGGCACATTAGAGTCCAGTTTTCTTGAGAGTTGTTCCCAAAAGTGTACAGAAGGATCCTGTGTTAAGATGCAGAATCTGGAGCCTGCAGACACTTCTGCGCACCTCTACTCTGGCTCTTTGCAATGTTTGGTGATATGCACAACTACCTTCCTTTTACACTGGGTATTGAAACTGGATCTCTTTTGCTTGCTACTGCACATACTTAGTACAGACACCCATTTGTCCAAATCTGTGACCTCCAAGAACTAAACGGCTTCACAGTGTTTACTCACCTACCTGACTATCCACTTAGGTAAGGTTATCCGTCTACCCATATGATTAGTTTGGAATAGGAGAACCACCTATTTCCTCCCCCTCTACTAAAGCTGCAAACATTTAAGCTTTAGCAACATTCATTCTTTTCTTGCTCAACTTCCCAAATAATAACTCTTCCAGCTCTGAGCCCCAAAGCTTCAAGCAAGGTAATCAAGCTGGGTATGGTGGCATCATCTATAATCCAGCATGTGGGAGATGAAGGCAAGAGGA